CTAGGTAGGGCCGGGGGGGGGGGATCTGAATCACAGCTCACCTCCAGACCAGAGAGATCTGTTCCCATGGAGGAAATGGGTGTTTTGGAAGATTAATTGTACCCCACTGAGGCCCCACCCCAAACTCTGCTGTCCCCAGGGTACATCCCCAAATCTCCAGGAATTTTCAACCTGGAGTTGGCACTCCTATTAGCTGTGCCCGGCAAACCGATACTACGGTTATGAGGAAAGGCCAGGAAGCCCATTTCTCCTATAAAAACCCAAGTTCCCACTGAGTCTCGCAAGAAGAAGAAAAAAAACGGTCCACCCAATTAGTATTGTTAAGCTTAAGCCCCCATTTGAAAGCCGATGGCTGCTGACAGGGAAGTGGCCTTTGGAGGCTGGATTTCTCCGCTGGGTCCCTCTTGTGGAGAGGACCGGGGCCTGGAGTCGGGCCTCCGCAGCCTCCCCAAAAATGTGCGCCTGGGACAATGCGGCTGCCGCACGGCCTTTTCTCTGCAATCTGCAATGCATTCTCCAGCCTGCGGTCCCGGCTAACTGCAAACACATGTCTCCTCAGCTGCAAACCCCCCTCCCCCTTTCCAATGGCTTTTCCACCCGGCGCTGAAGACAAAAGGTCTGTCCGAGGCTCCCTCCTTTCCCAAGTGATGCTGTCCAAGTTCCCTTGGCAGACTGGTGGGGAAGGGCTTGAGTTAAGGGAGAAATGAGACAGAAGGAAACACAACGGCCAGCCAGATCCAGAGATGTCATTTGAGAACTGGGGTGTGTGTGTGTGTGTAATACCTAAGTTAGCTGACTGGTTAGCCTCCTGTGCCCCTAATTCTGTACTGAAATTCATTTTGCGTTTTTGCACAATTAATGGGGGGACTGGCTTCTCCTTTAAATTATTTGTATTTTTTTAAAAAAAGGATTGTTCCGGTATGCCCGAATTCAACTTTCCTTTTTTCTTTCTTTTTTTGCCATTGGTATTCATTATTCCTCAAGCTGCTGTTCAGCATTCCTGAAGCTGCTTTTTTTGGGGTCAAATTTATATTCAGAATCCACAGGGGTTGAGTGAAAGACGTTGACACAGCAGAAGATACTAGAAGGAGCCTCCTCGGCCGCTGCCTCTCACTCGAATTTCCTTTCGCCTTCACCTTTGTAGGGCGTGTTCTTTTGTCATAGGAGGCAAACTGGAACCTCACCTGTGTTCCCTTACCATGGCCCTGTGGTGTAGTGGATAGAGGGCTGGACTTTTGTTGTTGTTCAGTCGCACAGTCGCGTCTGACTCTTCGCGACCCCATGGACCAGATCCCACCAGACCTTCTGGTCTTCCGCCGTCCTCTGAAGTTGGCTCAATTTCATGTTGCGTCGATGACACTGTCTAACCATCTCATCCTTTGCCGTCCCCGTCTTCTTTGACCTTCAATCTTTCCCAGCATCAGGGTCTTCTCCAGTGAGCGCTCCCTTCTCATTTGGTGGCCAAAGTATTTGAGCTTCAGTTTCATTATCTGGCCTTCCAGGGAACAGTCAGGGTTGATTTCTTTTAGGATTGACTGATTTGATCTTCTGGCTGAGAAACCCAGGTTCAAATTGGGGCAGGACAATTCACCCAGTACGAAAAGCACAGATTGGGTCCTGTGTAACAGTCACGCGTGGGCTGTGGGCTCTCCTCAGTTTCCAGTCACCTGGTGCCGCAATTTCCATCACGTCTGTAGAGCCAAACTACTCAATACGTTGGGCCGTGAAGAGTTCGGTCAAGGTTCTTCTGAGCTGACTCGCTTTCCCTGCAGCCTCATGGCAGCTGTGAGAAACTTTCTTTCCCAAACACAGCAGGGCCCCATTTGGACTGGGTCCACAGCACCAGGCTCCCTCCCATGCTGTTTACTTGAGGCAAAATTGTCCTGGGGTCGTTTTTTGCCCCAGTGGCATACAGCTCCGCAGTGTAGCAAAAGTACCCACCCAGAGCGATTGTGGCTCCGGAAAACCATGCAGGCAGGGTGTGTGTGTGTGTGTGTGTGTGTAGGCAGTGGGCCCCACCTCCCCTGGTGCTGTGGTGCTGATCCGAACTGGCCCCAGAGCGTCTGGGGAAGAAGATTCCCCACAGCTGCTGTGCGGTTGAGGAGAAAGTGAGTCAGGTCATGGGAACTCCAAATCGTGGTTAAGCACATCATATAGTCTGGCCCTGTGTGCCTGTGGAGAAGGAGGTTTAGCCTTCACAGCACCATTTTTCTGACCTGCAGTGGTCCCAGCGATGGGCTGTTTGACACACGGGGAAACCAACCTGTATAACTAACCCTGGCAGTGCTGTCTGTGGAATTTCTCATTACTCAAGTAACTGGGGAGCACATCATGGCAATATTTTTCCTTTTAAAAAATGTTCTCGATGTGGTCAACCTCACCCCTGACACATATTCCCTCTGCAGGTGATACCATGTCGGTTATATACAGTGAAGTCGCTGCAGACGAGCCTACGACCAACAGCTTTTGGATGGTGAGTAGCTGCAAAGGCTGAAATACCCTGTCAGATGGGTTGGTGCAGGGACTCTTCCGAAACACTGATAGACCCTTTGGGCAGAAGATGTTAACAGAATGCAGGTTGGATGACAAGGGAGAGATTTACTGGAGAATCCTAGAGGTTTAATAGGATCGATCAAGGGTGAGAGGAATCGGGATGGCTAAATTATTGAAGCAGTTGTTATCGAGTCCAGTAGCACTTTAGAGACTAGCAAGATTTGCTCTCGAAAGCTTATATCTTAAAAATCTTGTTGGGCTCTAAATTGCTCCTTGACTCAAATCTAGCTTTTCTACTGCAGACCAAAATGGCTGCCCTCTGAAACCATTATTGGGGAAGATGTGGAATAAGGGCAGGGGGGTGTGAGAGTTGAAAAGCCTGGGAACTGGAATAGTCTAGTGCTGGGGTGGGTTAACCAATCCTGTGTGATGTACCTTTTTTAAAAAGAAACCTTATAATCTCTGTAGTCCATTAATTTTTTAAAAAGAAATAATTTAAGAATATATGGGGTGGAAAGTACTATGAAGTTGCCCATTATAGGGTTAATTTGTTTGCCTAGTATTGCTATTGTTTAGACTGACCTGGAAGGAATACCTGGCATTGAGCCAATGGGGAATTAGCCCAGGAAAAGTAGCTTCTACTGTGATACAGATTGGTTGTTTGTTTTCAGGTGACTTCCTTTCTAGGGGTCGAGGAGAAAGAGGACAGATTCTCCATTATCTCTGTGTTAGTGTTGACTACAGATTGGTCATTTGTTTCAGGTGATTTCCTTTCTAGGGGTCAAGAAGAAGGAGAGGTTCTCCATTATCTGTGTGTTAGTGTTGACTATAGACAGCTTAGAAAATGTAGCTGTTAGTGTTATGTTTGTTTGTAGTTATCCCGTGTACCTTTTACCCTTAGAAATAAAGGTTTTTTAAAAGCAAAGAAACCTCTTCTTTCCAATAGAGCAAGATCCATTGATAGTCTGAGTATTAAACACTTTTGACTATTTTACAACAAAACGATTATCGGAGAAGATGTGGGCTTTTCCCACTGCAAGATGCTTTCCCAACCCACTGAGTCCCATCGCAAGCCACACAAAGTACCTCTTGTGTCTGGGGACAGAAGAGGTCTGCAAGTGAGCGGGGTAGAGGGAGTGTCCCCCCATGGGGTAGGGAGGGGAGAGTCTGGCTGCCCCCACCTGGCCTCTTGTGGCCACTGTTTTCATTTTTGCCACCCCCTCAATCCAGCGACTGGCTAAAACAAGAGACAACCCTCCTTTATTCTCTTTGCTCTCCTCTCCCTCTCGACCCAGGCATTTCCGTCAGTGTCTCCACCTTCAACCTGGTGGCCATCTCACTAGAGAGGTACAGCGCCATCTGCAAGCCACTGCAGTCCCGAGTCTGGCAGACGAAATCACACGCCCTGAAGGTGATCGCCATGACCTGGTGCCTCTCCTTCACCATCATGACGCCGTACCCGATTTACAGCAATCTAGTGCCGCTCCAGAACAGCACTGCGAACATGTGTCGCTTCCTCTGGCCAAGCAAAGTGATGAAGCAGTCTTGGTAAGGAGGGGTAAGAGGTGAACTGTTTTTTTTAAAAAAGGGTGTTCGTTGGGTAGTGGAATTCAGTGGCAAGAAGAAGAAGAAGAGATTGGATTTATACCCCATGGTCCTTCACTACCCAAAGGTGTCTCAGAACGGCTTACAAACTCCTTTCCCTTCCCCTCCCCACAACAGACACCCTGTGAGGTGGGTGGGGCTGAGAGAACTCTGACACAAACTGCTCTTTTTCAAGGACAGCTCTGACAGAGCTTGTGATTGACCCAAGGTCACATCAGCAGGTGCAAGTGGAGGAGTAGGGGATCAAACCCAGTTCTCCCAGATTAGAGTCCGCACACTTAACCACTACACCAAACTGGCTCTTTCACAGTCACAGGCGCTTTCACAAACACTAAATAATGCGGTTTCAATCCACTCCAGCGACCGTTTGCAAGTAGACTTTGCCATTTCACACAGGCCCTTTCTACACACTCCTTTTAATCCATGTTCACCACAGTCTTCACCACGGTGTCCTCCAAGCACTTCCACTTGTCATGTTTGTCCCTATTGCTTTGGGTCCCCCCCCCCCCCCTTTTAGGGATCCCAAGACCCCCTGGAGGGCGGGGAATCCCCCGCCCCAGAGACCCGTTCCCCGGCGCGCCTGATCGGACCCCGGGGGGAACTCCACCCTGACGTGCGCGTCACCCAGAAGTCTATGGTTTTCCCTTGTATGGCAGTGGCCCCACCCCCAGCGTGCCTGGCATCCTCCCGTCACTTTCGAGTGATGTGCGTGCGCGCCTTGCGCACTTTGCGCACGCAAGACGCCAGCTGGGAGCCCCCCGCTCCCGGCGAAGATACACTTGGCAACCCTACCCCTTTTCCAGATGTGTTTTGCTCCCTCTGGGACTACTACAGACAGCAAAACACATTGGGGGGGGGGAACCCTGAAGCAACAGGGACCAACGAGTGACAAAAATGACACTGTGGAATTCAACCTTTTAAATCCAGGTTCCCGCCCCCCTTCTGCACTGTCTGCGACCAGATTGTCGCGTGTTTCCAGGACAGGGCAAAGATCGAGCGCAGTTATGCTTTGCAGATGGAGGAGTGGACTCGCAAGTGGCGGCCCCTCGTGGATGCGAGTGAGTAGCCACACCCTTCCTTCAAAGCAGTTTTAACGCCTGATCTGTATAATTTATTCTGCTTTTGATGTAGAGCTTTTCCGGAAAACAGGCAGGGTGAGAAGAGATGACAGAAATACAGATATACTTTTATGATATATAAATGTTGTTGATATTGTCTTGAAAAGAAATCGTGCTTAAGGTTGACACACCGCTATCCTTTTTAATGCCAGAAATATATACTTAATCAATTTTTGATCTATCTTGTATCTTCATCTCTGAACATTTGCTGTACTTTCCTACCCATTCTGAATGGTGATATGGCTAACTCTGGTACTGATAATGAGATTTCTAAAACTTCAGTTTCCTTGCCAAACCAGCATCACAGTTTAAAAGGTATAAAACTGGCCATGCCAGTATGGTACTGTGACAATTTTCAGCTGTAAAGGATCGTGCTGCCTTGGATCTGAGAAGATAAGGCAGGACAGAAATGTTTAAATACATTCATTTTCTCTTGATTAGGAGGAGGGTTTTCTAAGAGGTTGTCAGATCTCTGCTTTGATGTATGCACATTCTTGATGTACTGTGCAGATGTTGAGCATAATGGTCTTTGTTTTCTAAAATAAGAGTTAACGTGCTGTAGACGTTAAGTCTGTGTGTGTGTGTATTATGTGCAGTCAAGTTGCTTCCGACTTAGGGCAACCCTGTGAATTAATGATCTGCAAAACATCCTTAATATGTTGTTGAAGGCTTTCACAGCCAGAGTTTATTAGTTGTTGTAGATTTTCCGGGCTATATGGCCGTGGTCTTGGCCAAGACCACGGCCATATAGCCCGGAAAATCTACAACAACTAATAACCTTGCTCAGGTCTTGCAAACTGAAGGTTGTGGCTTCCTTTATGGGGTCAATCCATCTCATGCTGGGTCTTCCTCAAACTGAGAGCCAGTTTGGTGTAGTGGTTAAGAGCACGGACTCTAATCTGGAAGAACCGGGTTTGATTCTCCACTCCTCCACCTGCAGCCAGCTGGGTGACCTTGGGTCAGTCTCAAGTTCTCTCAGAGCTGTTCTCTCAAGAGGAGTTCTCAAAAGAGCTCTCTCGGCTCCACCTACCTCACAGGGTGTGTGTTGTGGGGAGGGGAAGGGAAAGGAGACTGTGAGCCGCTCTGAGGCTCTGAGTGAAGGGCGGGGTATAGAGCTCCGGCAGCTCTTTTTCTACAACAAGACCCCTGTCTACCACTATTCCTCCCTTCAACTTTTCCTAGCGTTCCAGTGACTTGTGACTTCTCAAAATGTGACCAAAGTATAATAGCCTCAGTTTAGTCATTTTAGCATACAGGGAGAGTTCAGGCTTGATTTGATCCAGAACCTACTTATGTGTCTTTTTGGCAGTCCACGATATCCATAAAGTTATCCTCCGACACCACATTCAAAAAGAGTCAACTTTCTTCCTCTCATATTTCTTCACTGTCCAGCTCTCACACCCACACATAGTAATGGGGAATACTGTAGTGTGAATTATTCTTGATCTTGGTCACCAGCAACATATCCTTACACTCAGGGGTCATTTTGTAGAAAAAGAGGTGCAGGAGCTCATTACCATAACTCATTAGCATAACTTATTTGCATATGCCACACACCCTGACATCACCGGAAGTGTGTCAGAAGGCAACACCCACCGCTCAGGCTCCACTGGACTGTTTTGGATTGCTAGCTATTGGGAGGGGGGAACGTGCAGATCTGTCCTTGCAGAGAAGGGAGAGCTTGTACCTGAATAAGACTTGGTCTTAAAGGTGCCACTGGACTGTTTTGGACTGGGGGGGCTCTGCAACTTACCTGGCTGCTTCTTGCTCTGACTGAGGGCTGCTGGGAGCAGAGGGTGGGGCTTGTTGCATGTGCCCGCCCCCTGGGCTCTTTACTGCCGGAGCTCCGCTCCTGTGCGCTCCTGCAGGAAATGACCCCTGCTTACACTTAAGAATCTTAATCCCCCTCTAGGTGACTCTGCCTAACATACCTTGCAGGGCTATTTTGCAGCTAAAATGGAGTCAGGAAGAACCATGTATGCTGTTCTGAGCTTCTCAGAGGAAGGGGGGTGGGATAAAAATGTACTGACGAAATATGGTTTAAAGAGATTATGCCGTAGTCCTGAGACTTGACCTGTGTTATTTCAGTGTCTAGTACTATGCGAGAACGCTTAGCTAGAATAATATTTATTTTTCATACCAATTTATTTTCTGTTTTCCTGTTCTTTATTTAGCAGTTTCTTCACCCTTTGTCCCTGAGCCAGGGAATTTATCCCTGATAGGGATCAGTGAAGCAGCCACACATTTTCCAGATGCTTTTGGCCTATGAATCATAGAGCATGGTGTGGGCCTGTATAGCTCTGCTTCTGTTTTACTGAACTTGTACTGAGAGCAAACAATATATGTCACCTTGTAAGCACTCTGTTTATTTTCATTTAAATTATTAACCATTCTTCAATCCGTATATATAGGATGTATAACTGCTGAATTGAAAACTTGGATGGTATATCTTAGAGCGCGCCATCTAATTTAAGGAATATTGTGAGCACTTTAAACGTTTTAAATGTTATGAATGTTTTAGCTGTTTTAAAATGTTTTAAAAGTTTTTTGTTGACTAGGTCCATTGTACCAACTTTTGTCAGCTGCCCTGAGCATGTTCGCGGGGAGGGCGGAGTATAAATACAAATAATAAATAAATAGATTTGCATTTGGGATTGGTGGTGGCGCTGTTGTCTTGAGAGAAGGAGACCAGGCATGACAAAATTTCAGAGTCCCTGCTTGAGGACAAGCTTATCTGTTATGGCCGCCATTTGGAGGCCATTTTGTATCACTCGTTGCCAAGGTTGTTACCGGGTAGTGAACCAGGGATAGACATCATCTGTATCCTTGGGGCCCTTTCTACTTCTCCGTCTAATCTGTTGGCAGGAAGTATATTTTGCAGAGAATAGTTACAAGAATGGGCACAGTAATAAGACCAATGAAAAAAGAAAAAAGAACTGACAATTTAGCGCTTGGTACTATATTTATAAATTATAATATACAATAACAGAATGTTCAATATAGTGAATGTAGATGGTGGTCTCCGGCAATGTTCCCTCTAAGCTGTGGAGCCTTGTGAGCAAAAATTCTACTTTGTGAGCTGCTGGCATTAGAGTTGTGAGCGAGCCATTTTGCTCCTGCATAAATCAGTTTGCTCTGGAGCCACCTCTCCTGAGCTAAGACAAAAATGTGTGAGCCGGAG